TCCACTGCATCTTCTCTTTATTGTCATTGCTATTTTAAAAATCGAACATAATTATCGTTTAGGTTCATTTTTCTACCTTATAGAAGTTTCGCCAAAACGTTAGCGACTTTGTCACTGTACTCCTCTATGACTCCCTGTTGCCGCTCTTCTTTATTGTCATTGAGATTTTAAAATCAAATATGATTATCATTAGGGTTTATTTTTTTACTTTTTAGAAGCCCGAACCATTAAAAATTTGACCTTATAGTTTTTAGAGTTTATTGTCGCATTGGGTTCATGTTTTTTATAATTTTTAGAAATCCCGTCAAACGCTGCCGTCCTTTACGACCCGTCCGCCGCGTACTCTTTAGTGTCATTGGGATTGTAAAAATCGAACATAACTTTTATTGAAATTTATTTTTCAATTTCTAGAAGACCCACCAACAATTGGCGGCTCTGTTATTGTACTCCTATACGACCCGCTTGCTGCCTCTCATTTTTATTGTAATTGAGATTTCAAAAATCAAATATGATTATCATTAGGGTTTATTTTTTTTACTTTCTAGAAGTTCCTGCCAACCGCCTTGACCGATTGGTTCACGATCTATTTGTCATCCTTCCTTTTAATCGTCATTAGGATTCTATTTGGTGTTTTATTAATAGTTTTTAGAAGTCTCATCAACCGCCACCACTCTGCTCCTCTATCGGCATGTTACTTAATTAATCTCGTCATGTGTTTTAGATTGTCTTTTTTTTCAATAGTTTTATTTTCTTTATCACCAATATTAGTTATTTATAAATTGTATTTCTTGTTGAAATCTTATTTTTCTTTTTCTAATTTCAGAATTTATTTTATTTTTCGTATTGTGTTCTTCTGATATTTTTTATTTTTTATTTTCAATTTCAGTTGTTTCAAAATTGTATTCCTACTTTAACTCTCTTTTTAATTTGCCTAATTTCGGATTTTTATTTTATTCTTTATTCTAAATTTTAATTAATCTACTATTGGGTTCTTATAAATACTCTTATTTCGATATTGCTTATATTTAATTCCGAATTTCAGTTAATTTTAAATTGTATTCCTACTTTGAACTCTTCTATTCTTTTTTATAATTTGATTTTTTTATTTTTTATTCTGAATTTTAATTAATCTCGTAGTGGATTCTTGTATGGATTTTTCTTTTAATATTCCTTATTTGTAATTCCAAATTTTAGTTATTTTTAAATTATATTCCTACTTGGGCTCTTCATTTTTTCTAATTTTGGTTTTTATTTTATTTTTATTTCGATTTTGATTAATCTCGTGTTGGGTTCTTATATGGACTCATCTTTCAATATTGCTTACTCCGTTTGAATCTTAAGAACATGTCAATATATTTTTGCCAATCACTTTGCATTGCTTAATATATTTATCATATTTTATTCAGTCATAGATGGACGGGGAATTCTGTAATTAGTTTTGTATTCTAATTATCTATTCGGCTCCAACACATAATATATGCATGCAACGTGCATGTCCGATTCCTCATCAATGAAAATATTGTAATTACTTCTCAGTTTCCTATTAGGACTGAATAAGTTAAGCTTAGAGCAGTAGTTTCTATTCATATTCATATTCTTCAAATTAATCTACACCGTTAAAATCTAGTCAGTTTGTGATCTAACGGTTTAATATTTTTTGTTTTTTCTCTGATTAATGTGAGAATTTCTAGCCCCCATAGCGAACGTGGTGTCTCCTTTCAAAGTTGTTTTAATAATATAATAGATTCCAAAAAAAATTAAAATAGAGCAAATGAAAATCCGAATCCATTCATGTAGAGTCTTTTGTTGCTTTAGAAAAGAACATGTCCTTTTTTCACTCCATTCATGTAGAGTCTTTTGTTTTTTCACTGCAGTAAAAAGACAAGAGGGAGAAGAACTGAAGAAGAAAGAAAGAAAGAAAGAAAGAACAGCTAGGTGAACAGGTGACAGGTGAATCACTTTACTCTGAATCCTGGAACACGAAGAGGTGCTAGGCTGCATCGATCAGAGACGCAAACCCAGGCAGCAACGTAAATTAGCCTGCGAGGCGTACGTGGCTGCCTTGCCCGCATGCGTGCAAACTGTATGTGCCTCTAAAATTAACTGACCGGGTTGAAGAGCATGCAGGCATGTGCAGCCCGGGCAGGCAAAGTACAGAGCCTCTCGAGTCTCGATCTCCAGGCAGAAACAGGGAGAGAGAGAGAGAGATGCAATGCAACCATGCAAGTGAAGTGACTGAAATCTGCATCCTCTTGATCGATTGATTACTCTGCAATTATATTATAGTCCATTGTTTGGGTGTGTTTAATTAGTTTCACGCTAAAATTGAAAGTTTGAAGAAAAAAGTTGAAAGTTTATGTGTGTAGAAAAGTTTTGATGTGATGAAAAAGTTGAAAGTTTGAAGAAAAAGTTGGGAACTAAACAACGGCTTTGTTCCAAGCAAGGAGCATTGCAAGCTCATCTCGTCTGACTGTCTGACGAAGAGAGAAAAAATAGATTTGATTTTTAAGCTGAAGATGCATGTTAGTAGTATGAAATTGGAACAGGAGGTGTTTGTGTGTGTATATGTGCAAATCCAATTTGGCTGGATTTATATTACATTTGGATATATGATCTTGTATTTTGGGGTGGTTTGGTTGGTAGCTCTGCAATGATTGCAGTCGAGGTTGATCTGGGAGCTGAACTTGAATGGGATGCAGGTGTTGTCTCATTTGGGAAGCCATGCATGCATGAGCAAAGCTGATGATGAGATGATACCACTCACCATCATTTAGAAGATTATCATTATTATTACTATTAAATAATCTGATCTGATTGGATAGTATGCAAGGCATATATAGGTTTTCAACTAAAATTGCAGTAAAATAATGTATTCTTTTCGTCTCCATTGACACCTGTAATTTGGAGTGATGTGCTCCTGTCTCCTGTATCTATATACTCCTATCTGTAACCTGTTCAGAAATATAGTTAATTAGGTGCTCCACTTGTTAATACATCCGAATAAGGCAAGTATGCAGATGATGTTTTTGGACTACTGTATTGTACCAGTCTCAAGTACAGGTATAGATGATTCCAGAGAAAAGGTATGTCATGTCTGTACTCTGTACCCTGTTCAAATTACGTCATGGAAATTCAGAAAGATTAGTGTTTTCCATTTGAATATTGTTGTCACTTGCCTAAGGCCAAGCCAAATGGCTGTATGCCTGTATTTGTACATACAGTTGGATAATGTTCATGGTGTGTTAGTTTGGGACTAGTGAAAAATGAATCCCCATTCCCCATATAATTTCAAGCAATAATTAAGAATTACTCTATTTTATAAAAAAAATAAGTTCGTGTTCGATCATGACATCATTTATGTCTACCGTACACCCAATTTTCTGATGGAGGTAGCAACTGGCAATATAAATGGATGCGATATGAATGTGGTCGGGATGGCAGGAGCAGGGTGCTAGCATGCTTGTGCCGGGCCAACTACAAATAAATACTCCTCGGATCACAAATACTTGCTTGTTAGTTCTCACCTAAAAATTTACTATTACTATACATCCGTCATAAATATAATAGATTTTGATAATGTAATTTTGGGATTTTTGAAGTAAAAATTTTTCGATTTTGTTACCATATTGGGTTGCATCACATGACTAGTTTACCCAAAAAGATAAGTAAGGATGGACAATTTATTTCTATTTGTTGCTCTAATTTTTTTCCTCTCCTTAATTATCCCACCTTTATTTTATCTCTAATCGATCGAAAATGGTTCACTTTACTCCGTAATAATATTTCTCTTTTCCCTCTCTTTATTGAAGTTGTCTTTTAAGACTCAAATATTTGGAGCTATGGATTACATACCACTATCAAAATTATTTTTCATGATCATTTGCTTGAAATATTTCTCTTTTTTCCTTCTTTATACAAGTTGTATTTTAAGCAGAAAATTTTTAGATATGGATTACACCATAATCAAAATTATTTTTCATGATCATTTGCTTGAAATATTTCTGTTTTTCCCTTCTTTATACGAGTTGTATTTTAAGCAACAAATTTTTAGATATGGATTACACCATAATCAAAATTATTTTTCATGACCATTTGCTTGATATTTAAAATTAGTCTTAGACTCTTAGGTGCTTCGAACTCATGGAAACAGTGACAAAAATTATAAAAAATGTTAAGACGTAATAAGTTGTAATGCATCTATCAGCCTAACATAATTCCAGTGCAAAATATGGCTTTTATATATAGAGAAAGAAAATACCGTTGGAGAGTTAATGCAACCGTTTTAAATAGTTTACGGTATAAAATAAACTGAAAAATGGTTTAGGTGGTTAACCGTTCCGGTGAAATAGTAAAATAGACATTTCACTTATTTTTTATTAAATATGGAAAAATAATACTATATTAGTAAAGAATGGAGATGGATATTTTTCACTCATCTCACATATACAAACACAAAAGTAAAAAGGCTAGAATATTCCTATTTTATCAAATCCCAATGTAACAATTCTCACTCTATCTACTCGCAATATTATTATTCTCTACTTTCACAAACTCTGTTGCAACTATTACGGTAAAACTGAATTTATTTTTGGGACAGATGAAATGAGTTAAAAATGAACTTAATATAGAGCCTGTTTGGCACAGCTCCAGCTCCAGCTCCAGCTCCACCCCTCCTGGAGCTGGAGCTCAGCCAAACAGTTTTAGCTCCACCAAAACTGGAAGTGGAGCTGGGTGGAGCTCTCTCACAAAATAAACTAGAGTTGTGAAGCTCCACAACTCTACTTCAGACTTAACTCTTGGAGTTAAATTTAGGAGTTAGAGCTATCCCATCGAACGGAGGAAGGAAGTAAGTGTTGGAACTGATTAATGGCGTTTGTAATTATTCTAGATGGAGAGGGGTGTGTGTGTGTGTGGCATGGCAGGGCATGGATCCCTCCTCCTCGCCCCAGAGACGCGCCATCCATGACCAATGATCCCCACACGCCCAATAATGGCCATGCACTCATGCCACCCCCGAGCGCGCGCCATCGCGTCGCGCGCCATCGCCATGGTCGCGTCGCGTCTCTCCTCTCCCCGCTTGCACTGCAGCTCACGCGTCGCTTTTGACCATCCCCGCCACGCTGCCCCCTCTTCCCGCGCGCCCTCTCTCTACTTATACCTCCCCTCCTCATCTCGCTAGCTACCTACCCACCTCCGCGTCGTCGTCGTCGTCGTCGAGCGCTCGATCGATCGCCATGGCAGCCAGCGAGCAGAGCTCCGAGTCGTCGTCGACGGCGTCCACGTCGTCGTGCGGCAAGAAACAGCAGGTGGCCGGGAAGAGGAAGCGCGAGGACGTCGGCGGCGGCGGGGAGCAGGCGGCGGCGGTGGCGTACAGGGGGGTGAGGATGAGGGCGTGGGGGAAGTGGGTGTCGGAGATCAGGGAGCCGAGGAAGAAGTCCCGCATCTGGCTCGGCACCTTCCCGTGCCCGGAGATGGCGGCGCGTGCGCACGACGTCGCCGCGCTCAGCATCAAGGGCGCCCGCGCCGTCCTCAACTTCCCCGACCTCGCCCCTGCCCTCCCGCGCCCGGCCTCCCTCGCCCCCCGCGACGTCCAGGCCGCCGCCGCCCTCGCCGCCGTCATGCACCACCACAAACACCCCTCCTCCTCCACCTCCACCTCCTCGCCGCCGGCTGCTCCTCCGCCGGACGAACACCACCCTCGCCACGAGCCGCAGCAGCCTGAGTCGAGCAGGGAGGATGACCAGCAGCAGCAGCCGGCGGCGGCGGCGGCGGCGCAGATGGCGGTGGCCGAGCTGGTGTTCGACGAGCTGGCGCCGCTGTGGGTGGAGGACGTGGTGGAGTTCGGGACGTCGGATCATTGCTGGACGGCGTACGATGCGCTTGACCCCATCGGCTTCCAGCCTCTCCTCTGGGAGTACTAGGCTGCTGCTTGTAAAACAGCTTCCTCTTCTTTTCTTTTCTTTTCTTTTTTTGGTTTTGTTTTTTGTGTGGATTTTTTCCCCTAGTGCTGCTTAAAATGTGGCTTGTTTTTTTTCTTCTCTCTTTCAATCTTGATTTGAGTTGGATTTGGAGTTTGTGTGATATATGCGATGGAATTAGTTCGAGATGCGTGCACATTTTGTCCCAGGAAAAATGCAATGCTTAACTCGAAGCAGAAGCTCAATATTGTGGTTGAGACTGAACCAAAATCAATCTAAAATTTGAGGGTTGAAAATTTAGACTTCTGCGAAAGTTCGAGGGATGTAAAAGAAGAAAAATGTCACCGTATTATCTATTTTTGAACGAGAGGTTTAAGCTATATATATAAGCACTTTGTTTACTCTGAGCAATGGGATGTAATTTTCATGAAAGCAAGCAGTGCATATATCGACTAAACGAGTCCAGAACTTCAGATAAAAACATATGCTAGATTTTCTAGAAACTGACGGCTCATGGCTTTTGCTTGCGTAACAGCACCTATGGTAAAATAGTCTTTCTGAATTAATCGCAAAAATTAAAAAAAAAATCTTTCTGAATTCTGACAAGTCAGAAGAAATAAATATTTTTGCTGGCTCGATCGCACAAATACCTGCACATCTTGCCATTGTGATCACTTTCACTATGCGTAACATAAGTCATCGATTTTTTTTTCGAACACGCAAAAGAATTACACATCAATATATTAAAAGAAATCAGAGTTTTGGTTACACTACGCAAACGACCAGAAGGCTATTGCCAGGGGACATGAAAAAAATGGAAGGAAAAAGAATGTAAAAGAAAATTTCATTACCATGAATTCCTTGAAAGCAATTTCAAGGACCTTACTACTGTAATACTTATCAGAACTGACTACTACTACCACTACTTAAACTTTGACCACTAATAGCTTTTAAACTGCCAGATTATGGCGATTTAAACAATGCATAGTTGCAATGATGTTTATCAAAATTTACCTGCAATTTAAACTGTATCAATCGCTCAGCAATCGAACCTTACCTAAATACTAATAATTGACTCTGCAGCTGGGACCTGCAGAAACCTAGCTTGGGAATTAACTAAGCATGGTGTCCCATGGCAACGCCGATCAATTCATTAATCTGTACAACTCAGAGATCCTATTGAGATTCGATGAATGCAATGTGAATCGTCAGAGAAGTTAATTAGCTGTGAATAAAATCTAAAGAAACTGATCCTCTTACAGGGTGTTAGCTCCACGTACGAAAAAATAGAGTAAATTGGGTGCAGTGCATGTATGTGTGTGTTTGTCTGTCTTAGCCGGCCGCTGGTCGCTGAACCTGAACCTGAACTAGCTGTCTGAATATTTCTGTCGCCTGAATCTGTCTGAATGATCATCTGATGATCTGATCCGACGGTCCAGAGCTCGAGCCAGGCCAAATGTGTGCAACAGATTCAATGGCTGGAGCCCCCATCAAGATTCAAGAGGTAGGGACGGCTGCATTCACTGGCGTTGTCATGTCACTCAGAAAAATATCCATCTTGACCCGGGTAATTTCTCTTCGGTTTTCAGGGTTACAAATCTCTTTTGGTTTTGTTGAAATATAAGCACTTCTAAAATTTTTCAGAGAGATTATTTGAGAAGATAAGTGAAACTAAATGAGAAATGATCAGTGACGGAGCCAGCACAGTTGTAAAACTCAAACGACTAGTGGTGTTTTTGGGTGACTGGCCGATTTTTATAGATGACTAATGATAATAGAGACGGCAGCGGCGGAGCCTGGGTGGCAGCCCGACCTATCCGGGAGTTGCCTTCACTGCTGGAAATGATTGCAATTGGTTAAAACAAGAGAGTAGTCGGAGGAATTACTATATATAGTTTGAAATAAAATTTGAACACTAAAATTTGCTATAGTTTGGGATGAAGTATTTTTCATTTCTCCCTTTAATTTCCTATAGGAATTGTGTCTTCAGGTTGAAATTAAGCACATGCAGTGCATTTTAGTGAGATTAGAGATTTGCGGCTGAACCCTGACTCTTTTGAGCGTTCGTGTGCAATCACGTTTTCTGTGTAATCGTAAAAAAAGTATAATGCAAAAATTTTACAGCAACTTTGTAGGATTTTCCAACGAACTTATCAAATTACTTCTGCAATAGCCAAGAAAAAACCCTGCGTTCTTGAAGCTGTATATGGTACATGATCATCATAGCCAACTTTCTTGATCTGGATAATTTGTATCCAAGGTTAAGCAGAGTGTGACAACTACCAGGGGCATATCTTAGATACCACAATTTTGCAAAGATTTCTGGAAGAATATATACAAATACAGTGATAGGCCAACAACATGATGGTCCTGATGAGGAAACAGTCTGATTAGCTACATACAAATCGCCATGTGTGTTCTCCTCCTGTCCTGAGACAGTGAGACACCAGAGATTCAGAAGGAGACGGCTAATGACAGTTTTGATGGATTATTACATGCAAGCCACACACCTGTGCTGAATGTATGCATCATTATATCCTGCTTAGACAATTCTAATACCCCTGCAGGAGTTACTCCTATATATATCACTCAGAGACAGTGTATGTGATTGACATTAGAGATGACACCTGTGCACACGTGTCAGCTCGTGATAGACTGGCTGGAGATTACCCTGAGATTCTGGACATGAATGCCACTAACTGTAATGCCTCCTGGCGTGTTGATGTGTGTGCTTGTTAATTAGTGCAACAGTTGCAATGTGGGTTGCCATAAGCATCGATTTGGGGAATTAATAATCCATGAGGTTGATATAAACTATATGGATTAACGATGGATGTTGGCTGTGTGCAATTGTGCAGAGTGTTTGATTACGAGTCAACTTTGTTCAGTTCAGATCATATTTCACTGGTGGAGAAACCATCTTTAGTCGGTCCACCAGATTTCACAATAGTCCCGATTGTATTAAAAACCGGGACTAAAAACATATTTAGTCCCGGTTTGAAAGCTCTGAGGAATTTTTTACCAACCGGGACTAAAGATCTATTTATAGTCCCGGTTAGTAACACCAACCGGGAAAAAAGATCGGTTGATGTTATCAACCGGGACTAAAGATCTATTTTTAGTCCCGGTTGGTAACACCAACCGGAAAAAAAGTCGACATAAGCGGGGTGGTTGCACACGGATCGGATCAATACAATCTCATCATCTCCTTTTTTAACTCATCTCCTCATAGAGTCACCCTTATCTCTTCCTCTCCCTCCTCCCTTCCTCTCCTCCTCTCCACCTCCCTCCTCCCCACCTCCCTCTGCAACGGCGGGGCACGGAGGGCCGGCCCGCGCAGCGGCGCGGCGAGCGGAGGGCCGGGCGAGGCGGCGCGGCGGCGTGCAGGCGCACTGGCGGCTGGAGGCGGCGGGCGGCGCGGCGGCGGCCGGCGAGGCGGCGGGCCGTTCGTCTTCTTTCTTTCTTTTTTTTTGAGAATCTGTGATTCGGATCTGAGATGATTTGTGTGTGATGTATTTGATTTGTGTGTGATGTGAATATGTGATGTATTTGCAATGAATTTTGTAGAAGTTGTGATGTAATTTTTTTAAGATTTTGTGATGTATTTACAGATATTGATTTGAGAATTTGGAGACTATTCGGGGATGATTGATTTAGGATTTTGGGATGGGATAGAGTGAATCAATATATTAAAAACAATGAAGAAAAGAATAGAATAAAGTAGCAACCGGATCTAGCCTCTTTAGTCCCGGTTGGTGTCACCAACCGGGACTAAAGATAGAGTATCTTTAGTCCCGGTTGGTAACACCAACCGGGATTAAAAATGGATTTTTACTCCCGATTTTTTCACCAGGGACTAAAGATAGCGATCTTGAGTCCCGGATTTGTAGTCCCGGTTGGAAAACCGAGACTATAGGGGGGTTACGAACCGGGAGTAAAAACTCCTTCTCCACAAGTGTTTGGAATATATGTGTGCATTTTACTATTTTGGGTAGGATAATTAAGAATTAGTTCAAAGTTATAATTTAGCACATACTTGTGGTAACGATATATTTGTTCAAAATTATCACTGATATGTGCAAATTTTTCACAAAATGCTGCTAGTTAACTTGTAATATTGTAGGGATTGTGCTTGTTTAGAAACAATAATCAATTTGACCTATTTTACTTAATTAACATAAATAATGAATTTCTAGTTCAACGTTATGTGCGTTTTAAAACAAGCTGACCAAAATAAAACTAATTAAAACGCTATAATAATGTTGATTATTGAAATGCACTGTTTTCTTAAATAAATGGCCCTACTCTAATCAACATGTACATGCTGATGTACTTCTATTAAAAAAATAGTACACAATAACTTTTAAACGCTAACCACATGATAATATTATATGTAGCTAATTAACTACTCCATTCGTATTTTAATATATAACGCTGTTGATATTTTGAGATATGTTTGACCATTTATCTTATTCAAAAAATTTATGTAATTATTATTTATTTTATTGTGACTTGATTTATCATCAAATGTTCTTTAAGCATCACATAAATATTTTTATATTTACACAAAAATTTTGAATAAAACAAATGGTCAAAATGTCAACGGTGTTATACATTAAAATACGAATGGAGTAGTTAATTAAGATAAGTTAAATAATGTTGGTACAATGCTACAGTATGTCCACCCTCGTGCAAGTATGTATACAGAGCTAGCTACGTACTACCAATTAATATTAGTGTTCATCAGTATATTAATTAGTCCTTTAAGCACGTAGCTTGTCTTCAAGATACGAGACAAAAGATCTCTTAGCTTACAGCCATTAATTGTCACACTCAACCCAAATATATATACTTATACTACTACACATAATACTTCCTCCGTTTCACAATGTAAATCATTCTAGTATTTCCCACATTAATATTGATATTAATAAATCTAAATAGATATATATGTCTAGATTAATTAACATCAATATTAATATGAGAAATGTTAGAATGACTTACATTGTGAAACAGAGAGAGTATTATTTACAATCTTACATAGATTAATTAAGCTAATTAATAAGCTGTTGATGTTCTTAAACTCGTTGAAACTTAATTATTATTTTCCCTTAATTTGCCCCCAGTTGTAGGATAATTCATGCATCATTGTTCATGATGAATTGATGCGTGACCTCGTCAAATGATAATTAGTTGGCGCCCTGGATGCCGGACATGTGGTGTAATTAGCCGCAGTTTCGCTGCAGGGCCATCAAGAACAATGTCAACGTTAAATTAATCACCTTGATTTAATACTGATAGAGCACACGGCCATTTTGCTTTGATCAATATAGGTGTTATTATGTGTGTAGCTGCATGTGGTTCGTCTTTAATTTCCTCTCTAAATCGAATGGGCAGAACTACTGCCACATCCGGTTTCGAAGAAAAAATCGCCCTGATGAATCAATTCAAGTTTTTTTTCTTTGAATAAGGGGACTTTTCTTTGTTTTTTAGCAGCGGCTCAAATAGATGTTTTCTTTGTTTTTTTACCTAACTTCACAGTCACTTAAGAGGGTGTAGGTTTGATCCAAAGGCAGAAATTGATTCAACTAGAATGTTATCAAATTCATAGTGCAGAAATTATTCAACCACTAGAACATTTTTTTCGGACGGGATTTCGTTTTGTCCTGACGGGTTTTTTTTTCCGTTAGAGCGAACCCGGTTTTCAGTGCTGAATTGTTTACTTTTCCCCATCTCCCTGGTATTATTTGTGTTTTTACTCAATATTTTCTAAACTCTCTATATATGTGTAATTTTTATAGAATTTGTACAATTGTCAAGGTGTTACACGATTATTTTCGTGAGTCTTATACCCTGTTTAGATGTGACTAAAACTTTTAAGTCCCTATCACATCGGATGTTTAGACACTAATTATTAATAAAGACCATCCATAATCTTGGACTAATTCGCGAGACGAATCTATTGAACCTAATTAATCCATGATTAGTATATATGATGCTACAGTAAACATTCTCTAATTAAGGATTAATTAGGCTTAAAAAATTTATCTCGCAAATCAGCTTTCATTAGTTTTGTAAGTAGTTTATATTTAATACTCTAAATTATTTTCTAAATATAGAGACTAAAGTTAAGTCCTTGGATCCAAACACCACCTTAATTTGGCGTAGAAACCGCGTAAACCACCTCAATTCATTGTTGCCACAATTTCATTTCATCCGAAAAGGACATTACATGCCAATTAATAGGATATCATTAGTTTCATTACACATATGTGAAATGCCTAAATAGAAAAAAAAACACCTACACTTAACAGCGGATTATTTCTGTGGCAGTGTTCATCCACAGCTAGAAAATGATGGCACATCGACGTAATCCTCCGAGATTCTGGACGGCTGTACACGTAGCTAGCGTGTATACGTACACTTCAACAAGAAAATTATTTCATCAACGACAGGGGAAAGAAACATTCGCCTGTAGAATTTAGTTTTAAAAAGCTGGATTTTGTACTGGGATAAGTTAAGGTATATAATTAACTAATTATAGTCAACCATATTATGTAGTTCTTTTTTGTCTTATTAGAGTCTGCAGCTCGTTGTGCAAGAAGGACAGGCCAAATGTTTTCCCCAAGTGGTCATCCGGATTGATATTTTTTAATACTCAAAATGCGCACATGAATATGTTTTTTATGATATTACAAGTCAAAATTCTTATTCAGAAGTATATTTGTATAAGTAAATGTCTAGTTGATATAGAGTCGAAGCAATTGCCAATAGAAAAAATCATTGCACCACAAAATCAGCCTGTTCATAAAGTCATGAATTCTTTTGAGCTCAATTAATAAGGGAAGACATGTAACTGATACAACTAAGAAATAATTTTAGAATAAAACCTTTACACTTTTTTTAGGGGGAATAAAGCCTTTACACTTTGCTCTTAGTGGTCTAAAAGTCAAGACTGAGTGATGAATAACGATATATAAATTTATTTTTTAAATTAATTTGTAAAATTAAAAGTATAAGCCGCATCTCTAAACCAAGCAGGCCTACTGGCTGTTAGCGTGAAATGTATGCTCCCTTTGTCTCAAAATATATAAGGGGCCCATAATTTTAGAGAAAACAACATTTTGCAAATTTTGAATAACAATTAAACTAGCATATATGTTTAGTGTTATGCATGTGACATCTCATTAAATTTGTATTTATAAGTACTTTTCCATATGATCTGAATTTTGTAGTTGTTAATAATACATTACGAAAGAAATTAATGGTTAAAGTTTATACGTATTATATTTTAGGATTAAAAAATACTGTTTTGTGGTGCAGTCTTTATACCTCTAATTATACCATGGCTCTCGAAGATTTGTGCTAAGCTATGAATTGATCGGGGTTCAATCAGGTCGTTAAATAACCACTTTGACAAAGATTGTTCTGCACAAACGAACAAAACCCACTCGATTAATTAGGTTATCATGTCCACTTCGCCTTTCCTGATTGGGTATAATATCTTGATTAACGACTCCCAAAACGGTGGTTGGAAGTTGTCTTCACCTTCTCATAGCCACACGACAATATTGATGGAGTTTTAAGCATAGATCAAGAATATTTTTCTTCCTCTTAACTAGACAGTCCGATTTGATCTATCCAATAATAAATTATAGGTTTTAAGTACGTGCTCAATCTGTCTTCACATGTTTAAAAAGCTTTGTTGGATTTGGTTGGCAAGTATTGCATTTTTATACAATACAATACAATGTCTCGTGTACGGTTTTTGGCAAAGAAGACAGGGTTTATGCTAGACACATTGCCGGCTGCCTAATTGAAATAATTATGAGCCATAGTTAAAAAATTATGGATGTGGGAGGTCTCCAGCTTGGATATAAATAATTTTATCCCTTCCATTATATAATTATGTAAGTTTATTACTCTGATTGTATGGATGAGTTTGGTTCGTACAGGTGTTCATTATATAATTCTTGAGTTGACATATATGATTTTTTAAGGAGCAAAAATGGCACATTTGTCAGGCTAGAGTAGCCCACATTTTGCTATGGATTTTTTTTTGGGTCATATAGTGTTATTTTCTGACATTTTTGCGTCTTTTTTCATAGTTGATTTGCTCAAACAGACGTGCTGTAATACAGATTTTGAAATTTGGAAACGGGGACGTACTAGAAATTGTTTTGTTCCCAAGTTTGTTGTTAAGTATGTGATTACTGGATATATCTAACACGTACGTAGTACTACTACCTTATAAATAATTCATACTACTAATGTTAGTGCTTAATTAGCGAGTTGGATTGACTTAACCATATTTATTAGGTGAAGATGACCTTGACATTGTGAGCCTCGTGCAAAACTATGTTATCTCAATGAAGGGTCATGTATAATTAATTCTGTTTGCTCATGATTGCTGTTAACACTCAGTTTTTTAATTGAGTTCCTAATCAAGAATACTCCACAACGTATTAGAACTTTAAAAAGTCTAATCCAAGCCAACTAGCACAGGTCAAACTGTGTTTTCCTAATTGTTTTTTTCCCTCCCTTATCAGATAGAGAGAAGAATTGAACAAACTAAAAAAATCAGATATGTTGTTCCCGCAAGGGAGACCATTCATATTCAGTTCCCAATTTGACTATGACTACATAATAGTATCATTTCTGGTGTCAAATCCTTGGAAAACAATTTACTAAGACGCATTCAACATATATATAGGCTCTCATGTCAAATCATTCGAAAACAATTTACTAAGATGCATTCACATACAGGTCAGAATCATTTCAATATGTATAAAACCAGGATGATACTTGATGATATTTCCATGGACATAATTTCCATATGGTTTGGTATTGGATGATCCACTGAATGCTTACGAGCGAAACACCATCAACACTAGCTCCAGACCGACCGGGTGATATACCAGTATGACACCCTGATGATCTTAGGCTCGGTACAATACAGATTCTGTGGACCAATAATGTCACTTCGGTGCGAAAAACCCAACAATAAGAAATGTTATGATCAGTAATCCTCGATTTGCCTTGGAACAGCCAAAAGAATAACAGCCAGTACTTGGTAACAGGATTTAGAGGCCGAACATCAGGTCCATAACTTTGGACAATACTGATTTTGTGGGTGAAGCAATGGCCCCCGAAGCACCACGGCCACTCCCGTTGCCGATTCCATTTGGCATAGAATTGCTAGGCAAAGGTGCTAGTGCATTTCTAGTTGTAAATGAACTTGGTGCTACATGCTGTGATGGAAATGGATCTGTTGCACCAACTTGAAAGTTCTCATTTGTCTTCTCATTCAGGTACTGCCGCTGCCATGGGTCCACTTGCTTCACACCGATGATAAGAACACTGTTTAACTGTTGACCGTGCTTGGTGAGAGCTTTTTGTGCATCATGCCGGCTCTGGAAGATGTCGAACAAGATAGAGATCAGCAATTAGAAACATACATAACAAACAATGGTCAGAACTGGCAACAGGAACATTCAGTGATATCTCGCATATATTTGTAGTTTGTAATCATGATTGAATTAAGCATATGGTCAAGCCCTACATACGAACATTATTGCTGGTAGGAAAAGCTCATCACATCAATGTACTGTTATCATACTACATCTGAATTCTGCAATCTATCCTAACAAAATACACATGACGATCAAATGAAAGGGAAATATTGACCCTTGAGCCACATTGTCACCTCATAGTTCATGCATGAGATATTGTCATGTACTAGGTCCACAAATCACAAACTGTGCGTCTGTGACACCATCCATCTTTTGGTTTAGTGTTGATTTGTTTTCACATCTAAACAATTTAAATTCTGAAACAAATGCAGAGAGACCAAAACTAGCAGAGAGCAGGCATATGAGAGGATCTCCAAAAGACTACGTGTATGACTAGCCATCCCAAAATTTGGCTAGCGTAGCAAAAAAAAAAAAAAAAAGAGGTCCTCCAACAGACTAGCCATTGGTTGGGCCATCCGGCTAGCCATTCCCCACCTACACTCACTATTATGGCCCACCAAAAAATATGAACTATGGAGAGTGTGATTTGGGAATTTGGCTAGTCTGTTGGAGTGCACAGGAAATATGGCTAGGCACTTTCTTGGCTAGCTAGCCATAAGACCATTTGGCTAACCTCTTGGAGATGCTCTTAGCTGCTTACATAATTACATAATGTTCCAAACTTTTCATAATCATGTCCTGACCAAAATGAAAAGCAGGTAACTTTTAGAGCAGTTCAGATAATACATAACCAAAAGACATGTAAAATTCTTAACGAAGAAAAGCGCAGATCCTCATCAAACAGTGCAGAAAGGGGTTCAACTCAACATGTCATGACCTGTACAGGTCAAAATCATTTTATATTCTTGAAATAAAAAGTTCCTAAAGACCACAATCTATCTTTTGTCATCCCAAGCGCTCAGTATAGTCAAACAGTTGTTATGAATTCTGGGCCAGGCCAGCTCAGAGCTTGCAACTTTGCAAGGCCCTCATGTAGACTTAAAACTGGGCCATAGCCATTAAGAGGTATCATTTCCACTGGACTCCTCCCCTTCACAACTTAACAACTTTACAAGCCAGTTACATTTTGAGCTTGCTCTCCTTTTCTTTTGGCTATTGATATGCAATAGAAACACGGTAATTATCTTTTATCAAATCTAAAACAATTAAGTCATCAAAGTTTTTACCTGATACAGGATATGCATCCAGTTCGCATCCCTTGGACCAGGGACATGTCTCAAGACTATACCACACTTCTCAAATTCTCTCAGTACCAAGTTGGTATCGCCAGGTAAAAAACTGGAAGGACAAAGACAGGGGCAACATTATCAAAGTGAATTATGTAAAACAGTGTAATCAAATATGCACCAAGTCAGGGGAACTATTCGAGATAGAGTAAGACGAGGACAAACCTAAGTACAACAATGAGAATCATATTCTATTGAAAGCTAAATTAAGGGAACAATATGTACAGAGCGAATGCATGGTCATATGAATACATTCATGACGATTCCCCCAAAAGAAAGAATAGCATCAGGATGCTGTTTCTGACTGTCTAGTGCACGTGAAATTATATATTAATTCATCCCAAGAAAAAGGTTTGCTAAACTATTTAACTAGATTTTTGGGATCTCCTTTTCCAACTTCCTACACTCAAAACCTTAAAATTTTCCAATTACTGAAATGAATCACGATCTCTATTCTCTACTTCAGCATATCGATTCAACTACAACAGAAACATCAAGACAACATAGCATCCAATCACATACTCACTGATCAACTTAGACAATCATCGTTTTGCAGTACTATGTAGATTTAATTGAAATATGGCATAACACATACTCAACTATATGAACCCAATGCCACAAATTTCATCAAACTTATACTAGTTTATAACTTAATCATCCTACTATCATAACAGTAAGAGGAGAGGCCACATACCCAAAAACGGTGACCCACTCCTCCTCGTCGACACGGCCAGCGGAAGGTGTCGAATCCTTCGGCATCTCCGGCCGCGCAACTTCCCTGGGTGGCGGCAGCGTGATGAGCGTCACCTTCTGCTGCTGCGACTGCTGCCCAGACGCCGTCGTCGGAGACGGCTGCTGCTGCGGCTGCACGACACCATCGACCGGCGAGCCCTCCCTGGCCATCTCCTCCCTCGAGGAGGACCACCACGCGGCCGGGGAGGGGGACCCATTGGAGCGCAGCGGGGTGGAGGAGAAGAGGCCGCCGCGGTGGGGAGGGGGAGGCGAGGGGCTCATGGCCGCCGCCTGAGGTGGGGTGGCGGGCCTCGGCGAGGGGGAGTGGTGGGAGAGGTCGTCGAGGAACAGCAGCGGCGGCGGCGGCGGCGGCGGGGTGGTGGAACCTTGCGTCTCGCGGCGGAGGGAGGCCGGGGGCAGCCGCACGGCCGAGGAGATCGGCGACGAGAGGTCCCGGAGAAACGGCGGGTGGTGCCGCCGGTGATCCGGCCTGGATGCGCTCATCTCTGATCCGGCGGCGACGGCGACGGCGAGCGGCGGCGGCGGCGGCGAGAAACCCTAGTGGAGAAGCGAGTGCCCGTTCGTGTCAGTGACTCGTGTGCGTGGCCTTTGGGTTTATCAAGGATAGATGGGCCCACCTGTCAGTGGGACAACAGAAGTCTGACCAGAAAGCGTAAATTCGTCAATACGTAAGCTCGCTTCGGAGGCGTAGTTATCAATAGGACAATGAAATCCTGCTAGAAGGCGTAGAGTTAGAATACGTTATTCCTTTTAGAAGGCGTAATTTAGTTTTATTTTGGGCTTTTAGTTCAAACTGACAGCGGAGCGGAGAAGCGTCGGAGGAGATGGAGGTTGCGACGGCGACGGAGGCGTCGGCGCCGGCGGCGAGCAGGCGGAGCCACCCGTTCCCGTGGCTAGACCTGGCCATCTCCGAGCCCTACTACTTCCTCCACCTCGTCGCCTTCTTCTCCTACTTCGCGGCCCGCAGCACGGTGCCCTCGGCCGACGACGGCCTCCTCCTCCGCCGGGTGAGATACTGAGATGAGATACCGGATCTATTTGCAGTGTAAACGATCCGGATCGTGCCGTTTGGGTGGTGATCGAACTATTTCGGCTCATGTGGATCGGTGGTGGTTGGTGTGTTTTTTTTTCTGCTGCAGGAGATCCAGGCGGTGCTCACGTTCCTCGTGCTCTTCGTCGTGAAGGTACGATCGTTCTCGTACGGTGTTTCGTGACGAATGCTTGTCCTGAATGTTACTTTGCTGAGTACTTTACTTGATTGAGGATTCTGAATCTGCTAATTTGATTTAGGAGTAGGGAGATAATGTGAGAACAGGAGCTGTGAAGTTATGATTTGATTGAACTTGAGTGTAATGTCATTATGTGATGTGATGCTAAAAGGCGGAGATTTAGTGTATTTTCAATTTTGCATAGGGGGAATCAGTCAAATTGTGAGCATAAGTGAACAATGTCAGATTCGAGTGAACCCGAATGTAGGTTAAGGTTAGGTGAAATTGCTTTTAATTTTACCGCCATGTGTATGGCTATGGTTAGTTGTTTGATATTTGCAAGTGTAACAATGGTGTCATGTGAAGTTGTTATATAAGTAATTTCCATTTGTGAAAATTGCATTGTCCAGTTGACATGAGAGACAATGCTGTGCTGTTCACTTCGAGCTACTTCCCAATATATTGTACATATGCAAAGATGTTCACACATGCATTATCTGTTTCTTAGGGCCTGTTTAGTTGGTGAAATGAAAATTTTTGAGTGTCACATCGGACGTTTGACCGGATGTCGGAAGGGGTTTTTGGACAGGAATGAAAAAACTAATTTCATAACTCGCCTGGAAACTGCGAGACGAATCTTTTGAGCCTAATTAAGCCGTCATTAGCATATGTGGGTTACTGTAGCACTTATGGCTAATCATGGACATTAGGCTCAAAAGATTCGTCTCGCGATTTACATGCAAACTGTGCAATTAGTTTTTCTTTTTATCTATATTTAATGCTTCATACATGTGTCCAAAGATTCGATGTGATGTTTTTGCGAAAAGTTTTTGGGGAACTAAACAGGGCCTTAGTGGAGTTGGATTTTTTTGGGGTGAAAGATAAACATTGTAAAAGAAGATAACATTAGCATGCTATCGGAACAATTCTTTGGTTTGGTTCATAAGAAAATGGTATTTGTAGATAACAAAAATAACGCTTGTATCATTTGGACTATCAGGTTTTTTAGCTTTAGCTTGTGTAAGAGAAAATTAAGATTACATGTTAATTACGAGAGTTTTTCCAAAGTGGAGAGTGGGAGGAGAGTTGTACTTTTGAGCTCTCAATGCACTTCCTTTAACTTATGTAGAAAAAATAAATCACATCGAAGTCCTCAAGATGCTTGCCTTTTTGAGAAAAGATATTTGCCCTTTTTCTGTGTTAGAAGATAATTAAATTGTATGTCAGTTATCTGTTTTTTTTACAAAGTGGATGGTGAGAGTGATGATTGTAGTTTTAATCCCTCAAATGTGCCCCCTTGTACTTATCTGGCAAATTAGCTGAGTAAAATCTCTTGTAGATTATATTTCTGAATCAAATTATTCAATGTTCTGCAGATCGTGAAAGAGGAAAACTGGGAAACATGCATTGCTGATTCACTGCTCTATGCTAAGGTGCATTGATACAGAATGATTCTGACCTCTCATCCCATGATTCATTGATGCGAAATGATCAACTTGATTTCCGGTTTGATATCTAATAGCATGCAAAAGTAGGGGGAAAGTGGAATACTAGAATCATTGTAGTTTATTCTACAATTAACATTGCAGAGTGTTGTAAATCTTCCTTTAATTTTTCTTATTTTGATCTGTAGGGATTATTGCTGGCAGTTACTTTGGTTATCGATTATTGGCTGACTGTCTCCTACTTACTGGGATTTGTTGGTATGAATTTTTTTTTTGCGATATTATTGCGTAATGAGTAATACCTGTTTCTGAAGTGCAATGAAAATATTTGATGGATTTGGTACCCTCCTTGACTATAAATTTACCTTTCACGTGTTGCAGGAACTTAAAAGGATACTCTATTCCTATTTAAGTTCCTGTAGTGTACATTCTATATTTGCCCTTTTATTCAAGATGTACATTCATGTTAATGAAATGCTGCAATCTCCTATTGTCTCTTAATTATATGGTACTGTATAATGTTCTCTGGCATATTTAGTTGGAGCAATCATGTATCAGTCTCTTGGTTTGATTGATGAAACTATTATACCCTGTCCTGCTTAGCCAAGTTAGTCTATCCATTAGAATATGGAACCTGTATACCAGATTTTTCATGCTTATGCCCAAGGACAACTCATCAGAGAGCGTAGGTGTGCGTTTACCCTGGCTGTTGAACACCCTTCTCAGTTTTATAGAATGAAGAAACTGGTTAGATTGTGTCAAATGTTAGATTAAACCTGTGGAATTTCATCCCAAAAAAGTGCTCACAACATTTCCTACCTTATTGCCAAGGAGTGTAAGCTGCAATACAATTTTGGCCCAATTCTGTGAGTAAATTATCCATCTTTTTCTTCATGCATAGCCCAATTTTAACATGAAGGACCACAAAAGCACTGCCCCTGGTTTATCTTTGTAAGCAGGATGAGAACAACTTGTTTAGCTTGCTCTCTCATACTCTGATAACAAATTTGAGGTGTAGCCTATCTGTCGCCTCCTGTTCCCCTATCAGTGATTGCAATTGATTCCAATTGTTGTAGTGTAGCGATGCTGATGCTAGTGATTGTGCAGTAAATCTGTGATTCAGTAATCTGGTTTTACAGTCACTACAGCACAATATCAAGTGTATGTTTTTGTCATATGGGTCCTATGCTAGTCATAGTAGCAATTGGCAAACACATTAATACTGCCCATGATAGATTATCCAATATGGGACACAGTGATAGTGGATTGACTACTTCCTCTCTTTCTTTTCCTGGTTTCTGTCAGTTTGGAGGTTTCTTAATTTTCTCATTTGAGTTTTCAGCTGTATTTGAATTATATTATTATTCCATGTCCAAAAACAAGTGATTTTCTTTTCCCTAAAAAGTATCTTTTGAAATTTTCATAACGAAAGCTTATACTGTTTTCTTCTGCAGTTATATATGCTGTTGCTCAACAGCCACCTTATGATGGTCTTGGTATGTTTTATACACCTATTTTTTAATCACGAAATTCCATGCAGTATTATCTCCTGGCATTACCATGTTCATGAGCACATCTAATTATTCTCCAGCAGACAACAGTTGAAAAATGTATTCTGATGGGCGATCGTGATGGCTTTTAACTTGTATTAGTATATTTTCCCTGCTACCTGCTTCACTGGTTTGCTATTTTGCTAATTGATTTGAGTAAAATTAAGTTGATATAATCTGTAGCTAACTAGTAAAGGTTGCTATTGACTTTTGAAACCGATACAAGGGGTGGGATTGCAAATTGCTAATTATAATTGTGTTGTGCTGAAAATGCTTTTCTTCCCAGCTGTCTCTGAACATGAAATACTTGATTGAGGGCAGAACTGACTTGACCATTATCTCTATTCTTTTTGTGATAAGCCTTTTTTATAAGCAAAGAGCCAAAGCCAATTGAAACTCAACTGAAATTGGTGTGACTTGTCTACCACATGGAATAAAAGGCCTTTAGTCTATAATCTCGATGGTTCTAAAAGCTTTGCTTATTTGGGATGACCAGTATTGCAAACACAAGGACAACATATTTATGATGTTTTAAAGCAAAGTCATGAGTTTTCAACTCCATTAAATAGAATAAATTATAATCACAGACTGGCTTCTAGTTCAATATCAGTATTCATTTTCTATTTGAATATACTCATGCATAGGGAATTAGGGATGCAAGTTTGCCTACTTATGGGTACCGGTACCCCATGACCCACACTATTCTATTAGAAATGTGTTTTCCCTCCCACTTTCTAGTTCATTATTAGGTGGAAAAATTGTAAGGAAAATGAACTACTGTTAGTCGATGGGTACCCCATAGGTCAACCCATTCGTATCCCTATTCATGCATTCATTTAACTTCTTAAATAAAATGAAATTACTGGATTGCTTTTGTTCTATTGATTAGAAGTATTAAATTAACTTTCCTCGTTTTCGATTCTAAATTGAAAAATCACAGCAGTTTCCTCTTAAGTTGGATTGAAGGCATTCTTTTTTTTTATCTAGGTCATTCAAATCATTTGACTCCATTGCAACTGGAAGGCCTACTAACGGAGGAGCCAACAACACGATTTTGGCTGGTAATTTGTTTCACATCATATTTTTCCTTTTCTCAATTACCAGTAAGAATTTTATTCATGCTTTGCCTTTTCATTTTGTGTGAGATATCTGGCGAGGTAACTAAGGTTGCATTCGTTACCGGGAGTTCCCAACTCACTCCTCTCGTTTTCCGTGCGCACGCTTTTCAAACTGCTAAATGGTGCGTTTTTTGCAAAAAGTTTTTGTATGAAAGTTGCTTAAAAAAATCATATTGATCTATTTTGGAAAAAAATTGCTAATACTTAATTAATCATGCGCTAATGGACCGCTCCGTTTTCCGTGCGCAGCAGCTGTGTTGGGA